CGAGAGGAACTTCTGGGGCGACAGAAATGCTCAGTAGCTTCTCTTGCAGGACGGTTTAATGGGTGCACAGTCATTATCAAACCTCTTCTAACTGAAAAATTAAGACCTGTTCCTTTTATTATAGTATATAAACTATACCTCAATTAAAACATAACTTACAAGTAAATGGTACCACTTCAATAAAATCTGAAGCAATTACAACTTGAGGGTCACTCAGCAGTTGAGCCAGTGAACTTGTCCAAACTAACAAGCAAATAATAGGTCCCCTTGGCCTTGTTATCTGAGTCCACTTCTCATCCATGTCGACAGGGAGATGTGGAACAGCGCAGGCGCTGTACAATGACACGGCGGGTCAGCGGGGCCCTCACACACCGGCAGATAGTATGAACTCACGGTGACACACAACTGAGGAAAACCCATGCACATCACTTGATGTGAATACAAAAAAGTGGAGTTTAATTTTCTGAACAGTATGCCCACTCTCCATATAAGTGATATTTTATTACATATGTTATTATAGAACTCATGCCAGGTGAATGAGCAATAGTTATAAAATTTGCAATTTTCCTTAATCTTACTCTAATTTTCCTTTTCTAATTTTCCTTTTACTGCACTCAGGCAAATGATACAGTAAACCACCACCAAAACAAAAACAAGAAGCCTTAGTTTCTAGAAATTCTATAATTACCTGAGGCAGCTTTCTAAGCATGGGGAAAAGACATTATGAGGAACAATCTCATAGAAGAACAAATTCCATTCCTCTCACAATCTTAGGTACAACCTTCACCCTCCTTCCTCGTTCAAACCACATACCTTCACTTCTGAACGTGAAACTATATGCAGTGTGCTTGTGTGAATATAGTGATTTCTAAAATGCAGATACGTTTATATTACATGTTGGGTGTATAATTATGTCTTTCCTGGAGTGATATCACCTATGTGGGCATATGTGTAGGGGTTCTTACGTTTCGCTAGGGGTGTCTCTGTAGGTGAGAGTGAACGTAAGATGCATTTATCTATGGGTGTGTTCGTGGTCGTGCAAAAGTTTATAATTGGGGTGTTGTCAACCAAAGGTGGACCGGTCACCAGAAGTAGGTATGTGTGAATTTCAAACAGGTAATGTTCCCACTCATAGCAGAAAATAATTTTAAACACACTTAAGAGCTTTCTGCCTCATAATGATAATCACTTTCTAAAAAGAGAGAAGGGAACTCTGACTGGTCTAGTACTCGTCACACACCACGTTAGGCACTGTAATCCTTTTATCTCACAGTCTTCACAACTCGCTTCCACAGGTACAAACTAAGCCAGTTCTATAGATGAAGAACCTGAGCCTTGCCCCAAGCAGCATGGGCAGAAAGACCACGGCTGGCAGAGCGGTCTGATTTCAGAGCCTGTAATTTCATTCTCTACGACCAAAGCCTCAACTAAAATGTGATGACTAAGCCATTAGGCCTCATTCGTCTCTAGCGATGTGGAATATGACTTTAACTTCACTCATCCAGAAAGCTCACTTACATCTCCTGTGGGAGAGAATTACAGGTGTCTGCTAAGGCTCACAGCCATCAAGTTGAAAGGACCGGGCTTTGGTTTAACTGCCAACCAGAACCACCTCCCTGGGCTCCTTCCCCAGCCATGTCCCTCAACCCCCATCAGACACCAGATCCCCTTCCTCTGCCCACGTCCTCTCCGTTCAGTCGCTTCCCCTCAGGCGGCCTCTGCCCTCCGCAGGCAATCTCTCCCATGCCCTTGGCTTCTCCACCCCGTAAGCTATCTGCAGCTCACATCTCTTCGCAGTTCTCCAGAATTAATTTGCCTAGATAGCGTGCTGAACCCTCCAACGCAGCTACTCCAAAGTCTAACTCAGTTCATTTTCTTCTTTATCACCCTTCCCTTGGACGTCCCGCTCCTTCCCCCTCCTGCATGCCTTGCCTTGGCACCACCCCCTGCCCGGCTAGCAGGTGAGAAACCTCGGTGTCGGCGTGGGTTTGGACTTCCTCCAGCTACAGCCAGTAAGCCCTGAGCTCCTTTCCTCAATTGCTCTCAAACGCCTCCTCTTTTTCCACCCCCTCTGCCAGTGCCTTGGTTAGTTATGGCCTTTCCCACACGTACCCTGGCCCACTGGCAGCAGGTGGTCTCTGGCCTCCCATGTCCCTTGGTGCCTGCAGGCTAGTAGCATAAAAGGCCCCACGCGTCCCACCCATCCCACTTTACACTCGTGTTAAATTCCATTATTAAACGACTTCACGTTTCCAGAATATATGCTATTTTAGCACTCTCTGCCTTGGTGAATCGCGCCTCTGCTCCGACTGCCTTGCTGACTTCTAATTATTGGTTTTTATTTATTTGTTTTTTAAATATATCTTTATTGATTTCAGAGAGAGGAAAGGAGAGGGAGAGAGAGAGGCAGAAACATCAATGATGAGAGAGTCATTGATCGAGCCCGCAGCCCGGGGGTTGTGCCCTGACTGGGAACCGAACCCTGATCGCCTGGACCCCAGGTCGATGCTCAACCGCTGAGCCACGCCCGGCTGGGCTAATTATTGGTTTTTCAAGAAACTAGACTGATGTGTCCCAAGGGACCCATCTTCTTTGGGAAGCTTCCCTTCGTGCCATGTTCTCTCCTCTATCCTTGCTTTACTGTCACTGTGTAGCTTTGATTTGTTTGTAGGTGTCTCCCTGTCCTGGGCCAGACCCTTGAGGCCAGCACAATGCCTACCACACAGTGAATGCTCAATAACTGTACAACTTCTGAAATATTTCAATTACATGAAAATGCTATTATATCTCAAATTTTAAAGTTCAAAGTCCACATCCAAGAGAATCTTATCCAGATGAAACTCAGAAAAGAAAGAGCTCAACACAAGCGCCTCTGGAGTCTCTTTCATGACCAATACTCAGTATTTGCAAGTACTCAGTACAGCAACCTAACAACCAAATGCACAACTGAATGCTGAACAGGATTAGACTTCAAAGCACAGTAACAAAGGACACTGCAATTAGAGAAAATGGAAATGGATTACGTTAGGTGATATTACTGAAATAACGTTCAGCTTCCTAGGGATGGTGATGGCACTGCAGTCAGATAGAATGCCCTTTCTCTTAGGCAGGAAAAGCTTTATGCGGTAACTCACTTTTAAAGGACTCATTTTGTTTTTTTAAATATATCTTTATTGATTTCAGAGAGAAGAAGGGAGAGACAGAGAGAGAGAGAGAGAGAGAGAGAGAAACATCAATGATGAGAGAGTCATTGACCGGCTGCCTGCTGCACACCCTCGACTGGGGACCAAGCCCGTGGCCCAGGCATGTGCCCTGACCGGGAGTCGAACCGTGATCTCCTAGATCCTGAACCACACCTGGCCGGGCTAAAGGACTCATTTTAAAAGAGCGTAATATACAGAGAGATGCAGCAAATGTGGCAAAGCGATAATTGATCAAAAATGCAAGTACTCTTTGTACTAGTTGAACAGCTGTTCAACTCTGCATATTTGAAAATTTTCAAAATAAAACATTCGGGGGAAATGCTAAGAACACAACCAAAAATAAAATAAATCTTTTGAAATCTGAAAGGCAGTCATCCCTTACAAATTTGCTCTCCTAGGTGGCCAACCATCACAACCGTTCGTTTTTATTTGCCCAAATGGTATCAGACCGCACTTGAGAACCTTAAGCAAATAAAAGTGTGCTTCCTAACCGGTACATGTAATTCCTCGCCATCAACCACTGGAGATTTTCACCTGGGAAAACCTGCGGTGGTAAGGAAGCAACCAACATTGGTGGAAGTAGTCTTGCTTTAATCCTTTCAGAATTGCCAGGTCCCTAGCAAGAGCTAGTTTTACTGCTGTGCAGGTGATAAGAATTTAGCTCTTCTCTTAAATGTCTATTATATTCAGAGGGAAATTAAGAAAAAAGCATTTATCACCTTTATTTAAAAGTTAATGAACCTAGGTATGTACCCAAGAGAACTGAAAATATATAGCTACATAAAAACAGGTACGCGGCTGTTCACAGCAGCATTATTCATAGCAGCCAGAAAGTAGAAACAATACAAACGTTCATCAGCTGATGGATAAACAAAATATGGTCTAGCTATGCAATGGGATATTAGTCATGAAAAGGAATTAAGTACTGATAAATGACACGACATGGACGAAAACATTATGCCAAGTTAAAGAAGCCAGATACAAAGGCCACATAATGTATAATTTCATTTATATAAAATATCCAGAATAGGCAAATCCATAGAGACACACAGTTTATTACTGACTGCCTGGGGCTGGGGGCAGAGAGGTCAGGAATAGGGAATGATTTCTAATGGGTACCGGGTTCTCTTTGGGGTGATTAAAATGTTCTGGATTTAGATGGTGGTAAAACTTTGTGAATATACTAAAAACCACTGAATTGTACACTTTAAATGGATGAATACTATGGTATGGGAATTCTATCACAATTGTATATTTTTAAAAAGTTAACAAAAAACAAACAGTTAACAAACCAACAAAAAGTTAATAGTCAGAAGGGGGACCCAGGGCCATGCTGGGTTTGATTGTGCCTTTGGTCTCCAAGTCACCACGGGTCAGAGTAAAGAGGGGCCCCAGACTCTGTCCATTCTCTCCTCCACAGCCCCACAGGAGCGTCTGTGGGGCCAATCGAAGCGTACCCCACGTCCCTGATCACCACCAGGATCCCAGTACAGGGCTCACGCGCATCTCTTCTTCACTGTCCTCCACAGTGCTCACCATCTTTTTATTTATCTCCCTCCAAAACTTGGTTTTGTTCATTGCTTTATCTCACCTGTACCCAAACAGTGTCGAGCTAATAGTAGGTGCTCAATACATTTCTGGTGGGTGAATAAGCTTGGAAGAAAAGTTTACACAGAAGTTTGCACTGAATATGAATTAAAATACGAAGCTCTATTCTTTAAAATATGTGTTTCTCCCATAAGACTTCCCCCTTCATTAAAATATGTATCTAATCTTTAAGAAATCTTGCACAAATGGTATTTTATTATAGATAATCTAATTTAAGATTTGTAAATCTTTATATACTTTAAAACATTCAGGCATCATAAACATAAAAACATCAATATGCAAAATTCAAATTTACAACAAGAAACTTATTTTTGGACTGTGGTTATTGCTGCACTACCTTTATAATTCCTTATTCAGAGTCCAAAAATGTAGGCAAGCCCTAGGAACATAGCAGAAGCATTTCCGCACACTGGTGTCCATAATCTAGTTTGTGCAGAAGTGTTTCCGCTAGATTCAAAGAGCACTCTTTGGAAGAAAGAAGCCAGGACTGGTCATTTGGTTGCCCTTCGGACCTTCTGTAACTCTTCAATGGGCTTCCATTGTTGGTTGATCGTTATAAGCTTAAATAAAAAAGCAAAATAAAATGTTTCATTAGGATCTGTCCTTCATCCTTTCATCCCTTATGGGATTTGTCCACACTCCTCTTTAGAAAAAGCATCACCATAGCATTTGTAATCAAACAATCACCTCCTCTTCGCATCTCTAAAACATGAACAAAACAGTCATATGGGCTGGTTTCTATCGCGCTGTCCCTCCAAAAAGCCCTTGAGTTCCTGAGTATTATAGGATCAGAGAGAAAGGTCTTACACGTTTGCCACACCTTCACTTAACAGGACTAGATTTTCAAATTCCCCATGGTTTTATGTGAACTATAAGTTTAAAAAGTGAGTTTGGCCCTGACCAGTGTGGCTCAGTTGGTTGGGCGCTGTCCCATACAGCGAAACAAACGTTGCCAGTTCGATTCCCAGTCAGCGGACATGCCTGGGTCTCAGGCTCAATCCCTGGTAGGGGGCTTGCAGGAGGCAGCCCATCAATGTTGATATTTCTCTTTCTCTCCCCCTTCCTCTCTCTAAAAAAACAATTAAAAAAATCTTTTTTTTTTTTTAAAGTCAGTCTGCTCCCTGTGTGTGGATGTATAATGCTCCTAGCACAGAGTGTGGCAAAATTTACAATAATTGAATTGTAATTACTCAATAAAAGTACAGATGATCTAAGTTATACAATAAGGGAGAGGGACAGAGCTATGAACAGTCCTTGACTCCCAAAGAACTCACATTCAGAGATCCTCATTTACCCTCACAAGATTTCTGTTACCCTAGGACCTAGGAGATGTAGCTGGTTTTTAAAGATCCTAAATGTTGGCCCCACCGGTGTGGCTCAGTGGTTGAGCATTGACAGTCTACCCATGAACCAGGAGGTCAGGGTTCAATTACTGGTCAGGGCACATGCTTGGGATTCCGCACGATCCCCAGTAGGGGGCGTGCAGGAGGCAGCCGACCAATAATGGCTCTCTCATCATTGATGTTTCTATCCCTCTCCCTCTCCCTTCCTCTCTCTGAGATCAATACAAACATTTTTAAAAAAAAAAGAAATTAAAAAAAAGAGATCCTAAATGTCCTCACCAGGTCAATCTGTTATTTGAAAGTTTTGTTTAAAAAAAAATAGCTTTCCTGACAGACCTAAGTAGTGTTCAGTCTAACAGACTATATGTTTCTTACTTCCAAAATATTTAAAACGTAAAAAGTCTTCGCAATCGTCTCAAAAAGATAAGTGAATATTAGCTACTTTCGCTTCAAGTGAAGGCAACTTCTGTTTTCAGGAATCCTGTACTGGGTCACAATAGACCTTATATTAACTTTAGATAAACAACAGAAAAAATGAGATAATGTATTACAAAAATGATAAAAGTTAATATCTGAGTGCTTACTATGGGCCAGGCATGGTGCTAAATGACTCTATGTATTTTATCTTCTTTAATCCTCTTAATCTTATTATTGTGCCCATTTTATAGATTCTGAGAGCCTCAGAGAGGCCAAGTTGTCTAAACCACCTATGAATAATGGAGCAAGGATAGGAACTAGATCTCTACACTCTATAGCACTCTCTTTAACACTACGCCAAATGGCACCCTAAAAGGGAAAGGCATTAAGTCTATCTTGCTGACAATGATACTAAGGCTTGGGCTAAATGTAAGTCACTTTTTAATTCAACAATACCTTTCTAGGTACACTAGGATCCACATCTTCCCAAGGTTCTGGATGTCTTTTTCGATCAATGCTAAAAGTAAAAGAAAGGTGATTAAATGTTAAAGTAGGTGAATTTAAACCAACTCTGATATTAATTAGGTCTATAAACGCACTAAGGACAGATCCCTAACTGCATGCTAAGGCTTTCATCTATTAGTCAACTGCAATTGATGGGAGATTCCTTAAAGGAGCTTCACGGTTTAGCTCAAACATTGGGGATTAACTCCTCTGCAGGGTAGGGGGTCTGAATTCCATTTATTGAGCTAGATTGGAGAATGATCTCATAAACTGAATAGCACCAGGGGTGGAAGTCCAGGGTAAGAGGAAGCAAAAAATGTTCTTGCCCTGGAACCAACAGAAGGGCTGGGCTCAAGCACCACAGGGCCCTAGGCCCCTCTGCCAGAGCTGCCCTTTATTGCCCTGCACTGGCCAAACTCAGTTTCAACTTTCTCTCTTCCTCATATTCCAGGATACACAGTATTTTAACTTATTATATCCACAGCTGAGATTAGACTTATTGTAAACAACTAAATCTACAAACTCTACCACATTAGGAAAGATCTTTCTAGTAAACTGAAATTTTAAAATTTCATTAAAAATGATTATCTAAACTGGATGATGTATATCCCAAAGACCAGTTAAGAATTTTAAATGTCAAAACTTAAGTTAAAAAAAAATCAAACTTTACTTTGCTGCAGGAGAAGAGGGGGCCCAATGGATGAGAGGATATTTAGAATTAAGGAACAAACTAATTTTATGAATGTCATAATTTAAGTCCTCTGATATCAGGATGCTTTCTAGCCCTGACTCTACCCTCACAATCTGACGTTCTTGTCCTGGGGGGAATACTAGGAAATTGATATCGTACACTTCATAAACTGAAGGTCATCCTAACATTGCTAAAAACATTTTTATAAATGACGTCTACTTACATCACATCGGATTTTTTAAGGGAATATATAGCAAAAGACGAAGCTCCAGTTGCTGCCACCGTCATGAACATCACCAAAGGGATAAGCTAACAGAGAACAGGTGAAGGGTAAATATTCCAATGTTTCAGTGTGAAATATCTGAAATATAACACTGCCCGTTCATCTTTAAATATCAATAATTTTAGTCAAGATTTTCAATTGCTTTCACCACACGTGAGGACACAAAACAAGTCTCTAACAAGTTCAAGAAGGTTGAAATCATACCAAGCATCTTCTTAGACATTTACACCAGGGAACACTACGCAGCTGTAAAGAAGGATTTCTTACTCTTTGAGACAGCATTGGGGGGACCTGGAGAGTATTATGCTAAGTGAAATAAACCAGGCAGGGAAAGACAAGTGTCACGTGATCTCACTCAAATGTGGACTCTAATGAACAAAATAAGCCAATGAACAAAATAGATCCAGAGACACAGAAGCACCGAACAGACTGAGGGATCTCAGAGGGAAGGCAGGGGTGGGTGGCTGGGGAGTGATGAACCAAAGAACTTACAATATATATATGCATAGCCCATGTGGTGAAGGCCTGGGGGCGGGGTGCAGGGGGAAGGGATC